ACATTCAGGGCCCCTGTGCTGAGCTGTGAGCTGTCAGGGGCATCAGCCTCGCCTTCCCTCAGCAAGAACAACTGGATGCAGGAGACCCCTGGCAGGTGAAGTCACCCCAAGACCACGGGAGCTGGTGGGGACAAGCCTCAGGAGGGAGGGGCGCAGACTCCAGACCGAAGCCCTTCAATCCATGTTGCATAAGTGGACCCAGCTGCGGATGTGTGGGCAGCTGCGGGCAGCGGGTGGGCCCAGCTGTGGGTGTTCTTTTCTGGGTCAGAAGCCGCCCAGAGTGACTGGGACACTCCTGTGGGGGGCGGACCCTCAGCCTGGGGAAGGCTCCGTGCCTTTCTGACTGGAAGAAAAAAATCAGAATCCAAAAAGAAAATAAAGCACCGTATTCTCACCACACCCAACAGCTGTGTTGGCAGGTCTACCTCCAGTGAGGTTTTTAATTGAGGTGAAATTTACATAGGGAGAAGCTGCCGAGGACCCTTTGGGTGGTGGGCTTGAATGATGGGCCATGGTGAGTCCAGACCCCATGAGGCGGAGGTACCACCCAGGAAACCCCGGCCCCTGCTGCCTACACCCCTCCCCACGGGCGGCTCAGATGTGACCACCCAAGCCCAGCCTCACCAGCCTCACCCCTCCTGTAGACAGAGTCGCGCAGCTGCCTCTGCCACCCGCTACCTCCCGCCCTCTATGTCCAGCCCCTCGTGGTGTGTGTCCTGGCCCTGCTTCTGTCTGTCTGTTGTCGCTGAGTGTGTTTTTCTGTCCGAATAAACCAAGGCACGTTGTTCATTCATCACCTGTTCCTGGCCTTTGTTCCCAGTTGTCAATAGTTGGGATGGAGGTCTGGTGTGTGCATGTGGGGCTTGGTGGGTGGGCGCCTCACTTCTTGTCAATGGTGTTTATTTTCTATATATTGCAATGTTTTGGCATCTGGGACTTTTTAGATCCAAGACTACTCCTCTAGGGTCAGCAGTGCCCCCAGACTCCTGGCCTCCCCAGTGTCCCCAGCCCCCTATCTTCCCCCGTCCCGTCTCCCTTGGCCTCCCCAGTGTCCCCAGTCCCCTGCCTCTCTCTTTGTCCCCCAGTTCGA